AGTAGACTCAGAGGCCCAATGGTGAGCTTTATACATTCGCTATCACGGTTCATTCAGCATATGGTTGTGGTACAAGCCTTACATGTTCGTGAGATATTACGGTATTTTTTTGACCAGGACGGAGACTGCGTAGTTCGTATCGATCATTATCTAAAATTTTAACAATTTGATAAGGGCCTAAATATTTTGGACCTAATTTGTTACTAGACCATTGTGTATCTTTACAAACTACAAAGTCTCCTGGTTGCAATAGCTTTACTTTAGCGCACTTGGAATCGAAACGTTCTTTGTTTTTTGATGACTGTTCGGTCATTCTAATAACAGCATTTGCACGGATAGTATCTCTATCGATAGGATTAGATAGAACGCACATCTGTTCGATAGCTGGGGCAGACCCTTGTTTACCTATCAGGAGCTCTAGTGGGGAATATCCAGTTGCCTTACTTTTTGTACTATTCATAGTTAATTGTAATTCTCCTAATTTTGTAATCCAGACCCTAGATTGATTTTGAGCAATAACTGCCAAATGATCTTTTAACGTTCTCATTGTCCTTTCTATTTGTCCATTAGCTCGAGGAGTTCCTCGTGCAATGGGATGGTGTTCTATATTGCTTTCTCTAAAGAAGCATTGTATTTCAGTTCCCATTATCGCGGATTCTCGGTCAGAGATGACTCTTGATGGGGTACCAAAAAGATGTATTAGTTCTTGGAAACACTTGAGTATCATATTTGAAGTTTTGTCTTTTAATGAACGTATGAAAACAAATTTTGTGAAGGCATCAATTGCTACAAAGGCATAAGCCTTCCGTGTAGATCCAGTTAAATTCCCCATTAAATCCACATGGATGGTGTGGAAAGGTGTTTGGTTTTTGTCTATAGGATGGAGGCATATTTGCTTTTTACCCGTGTGTTCTTTTCCAATTTTACATGATAGACATTTATCACAAAATGAACGGACCCTTTTAGTCATGTGCTTGAACCAAAACTGCTCTCTAATCTTTTCTAAAGTGCGTTCCCAGCCTGCATGTAAAAGAGTATCATGATATCGATTGATTAATTGAATTACGAGTGAGTCTGGTACTACAGTTCGGGTGATAGATCTACCATTTTGTGTTTGAATGGTAATCATCAAAAGATTTCTTTTAAGGCAAAATTTTTTGTCATAGTCATCATTATTTTCAATAGCTTCACGTATTTTGGACAATTCAGAATCTCGTTCTTGTTCTAAAATTATCCAAGATGGATCTTTTGTAAGAATATTTATTTGAAGATTCCTACTAAGAAAATCTACGTGGGACATCTGTTCTCCTTTACGATATACAATATCAAAGTCAAAATTTTGTAAGAATGCCCACCAACGATGGACCCTTGGAGTTAGTTCTTTTTTTGTACTGGAAGATTTTAGTGCATTACAATCTGTGTGGACGGTAAATTTGCGTCCGTAAAGGAAATGTCTAAAGTGTTTGAGGGCTCTGACTACTGCTAGTGTTTCGAGTTCATAAGAATGATACTTTTCTTCTGTGTCCGTAGTGCGCATGCTAAAGTATTCTACAACTTTTCTACGATTGTTGTCAAGTTGTATAAGCATTGCGCCAAGTCCTCTAGAACTAGCATCAGTGTGAACCTCTGTTGGTAGATCTGGATTAAATATGCAAAGTATGGGTTCAGAAGTCAAAAATTTTATTACTTTTAATCTAATATTCTCATGTTTTTCGGTCCAATCAAATGGAACATCCTTTTTTGTCAAATTGTACAATGGTGACATTAATTGTGAGAAATTTGGAATAAAGCGACGAAAATAACTTGCAAGGCCATTGAACTGTCTCAGTTGTTTTAAATTTTTTGGGGGCTCTGAATTTTGCAAGGCACTAATTTTTTGAGGATTAGGTCTAACTTGACCATTTTCAATTATATTACCAAGATATTCTACGGAACGTTTTAAAAATTTACATTTGGATGGGTTAATAGTAAACCCGGCTTCTGAAATACGTTTTAGTACCAAGTCCAACCTATCAAGTCCTTCTTGCTCACTATATGATGGTATTAATATGTCATCCAT